AGCCAGCCATGCCGGCTGGGGAATTCTGGGAGTTGAAGTCCACTCATCTTAAAGTGGCCAAGTTTGGACAACACTGAGTTAAGGTATTCACAGATATCTAGCAAAGGGATCCCCACAGTCAGGCCAAGAGATGAGGGACACAGGAACCAGAGACATGAGGAGATATCCAAAAGGTGCCTGTTCATGAAGGTCAGAAATAAAAACAGGCAGCAAGGGAAAGGATGGAGTTTCTTACCAAAATGACACTTGACAATTTGTCAAACTACCTATAGGAAAAAGCACTGCTGATCTAAAGATGCCAGCGAGCAGTAGCCTGGAACTAATTGGATACATTGACGGAGATCGAGTTGACCACAAATCTGCAAGTGGGTACCTGCTCCTTTATGGTGGTGGAGCAGTTGGACCACCAGGAAGCAAGCCACCATGGCACTGACCTCCCTAAAGCTGGCACTCCCAGGTTGATCTTGACCCCATCATGGTTTAACTTCTTCCAAATGTGGTAATTCTACTAATACAGAATGGTTGTGTTCAAGGCAGGTACTGTGGCATGTTAACATTTCATCCAGACAGCATTTGGGTTAGAGTGGTCAGTTTTCGCTCAAAATTGCCCCAGTTCATTGGAGCTAAACTAATCTCCTATCATCAGTCATGTCTATACCCTTCTATAACCTTGTAGCACAGCATTGCCCTGGAGATCCAGATGGCCCTGATCCTATTAGCCTTTCGTAATGCTGTGTCCTCAGAAGGGTAGGCAAGCTTGGTTGTTAATGTGATCTTAGGATTGGAATGGATCATTTACCTAGGGTGCCATGGGATATTGTTTTTAATTTTTGAGTTTTTAATCTTTGTTTGTTACCCAGAGTCACTGCTGTGAGATGGGAAGCCATATAGAGTGTGTGTGTGTGTGTGTGTGTGTGTGTGTGTGAATACAAAGTAATAGCTTCCCGGCTACCTTGACTTACTTTAAAAATTTTTTTTACTTTTCTCAAAATGAAGAATTGCAAGATACTGTAACAATAGACAATATCAGTTTTTTTCTTCATTTTAGGCTCAGCATCTCTCACTATCGATCCTGATCTTGCCATTCTGAGAGTGAAGCAAGGAGACCCAGTCAATTTACTTTGCTCAGGGAATTTCCCTGTTGAATGGATCGGTATCAAGAATGGGTCCACCGTAATGGTGTACAACAATGGCACCCTCTATATGCCTAAGGCTAGTTGCAGCCAGATGGGAAGCTACCAGTGTGCTTATATCAACAAGACAGAAGAGGGGACTAGATCTATATACGTGTCTGTGACAGGTAACCAGATTTCTCCATAATATTTGTCGTATGCTTCTAAAATATAAATCATTGCATATGCATGAGTAAACACTGTATTATTCCATAGGATTGAGAACTAGGGGAATGGATGGGTTGTGTTCCCCATATCTCCACTGTCTGCTGTCAGTGTTTTTACAGAGGGTGGAGGGGTTGTAAAGTGTGGAGTGTGGAGCCTGCTGTATATATGTTAGGTTCTTCCTCCTGGTGGTAGAGACACTTGGGTGGCAGAAGACAACATTGGTGGGGAATGGAACAAAATGACCTAGGCCAGCAGGATCAGAAATGGACTCCTGCTTGGAGTGAATTTTTCATGCAAGTAATTTTTCATGCCTGAAACAAAGCAATCGTGGGAAATCCCTGCTGCAATTTTGCCCATGGGAAATTAGCTCTTTTGGATGACTCATAGAACGGAGTCATCTCAAGCAAAAGCAGCAGTTGTTAATTCAGATGCTTACTGATTCCAGGACATTATCAGCTTTGACTCTCGGCTGGGTTGTGCCCCAAGGAGAACAGACCTGCAATTTGGGAGTCCTTTTGGACTCACCACTGGAAGAGCTGAAGGAAAAGGTTGTCAGGCAAATCACACTGGGGAAAATCTATCTATGTGATCCTTAAGAATCCAAACTGACTTGATGGCATAGAATCAATCAGTCTGGATTCACAGCTCCTGCTGGATGAGCAAATGGAGACTGTGGCCAAGAGGGCCTTTGCCCTTGAAGACCACACAGAGACTTTAGCTGCCACAAAATGCGGCAGCCTGCGTTCTTATTGGATAGTCCCATTACTGCTGCATTACACTGCTGCTGTGAAGCTGCATTGGTTCTCTGTGCATTTCTGAGCATGGTTGAAGGTGCTAGTTATCACATATAAAGCCCCATATGGCTTGGGGCCCAGGACCACTTTTCCCAGATAGATTCTGCCCATCCAGTCAGGAGACAGAGAGGACCTACTGACGGTCCTCTCCCATCATGAGGTACAATGAGAGGGAGCTCTTCTCCTGAGGAACAGCTTGCTCTCCTGAGGCAAGATTGCCTTTCCAAATATTAGTGGAGTCATCAACACCAAGATACTTGATGTTGATTGATTATTGTATGCCTTATGTTATTGCTGTACATTGTCTAGAGCAGTGTTTCTCAACCGTGGCAACTTTAAGATGTGTGGACTTCAAACCCCAGACCTTGCTGGCTGGGGGGGGCCGGGGGGTTAAGTTCACACAACTTTAAATTTCCCCCGGGGGGAAAAACCGCCCCCGACAAAGGAA